TCTCATAAGTAGAATCAAGATCCAATCTCATAATCCGTTGTTCCATATTCCTATATTCAATACACTAGTATTGTCATTCCATGTCAGGGGTCCTCAAACTTTGTAAACAGAGGGCCAGGTCACAGTCCCTCAAACTGTTGGAGGGCTGGATTATAATTTGAAAAAGACATGAATGAATTCCTATGCACTCTGCACATATCTTATTTGTAATGCAAAAAACACTTTAAAACAATACAATAATTAAAATGAAGAACAATTTTAACAAATATAAACTTATTGATATTTCAATGGGAGGTGGGGGCCTGCTTTTGGCTGATGAGATAGGATTGTTGTTGTTGTTGTGTGCTTTCAAATAATTTCAGACTTAGGTTGACCCTGAGCGAGGGCCGAGTAAATGAGCTTGGAGGGCCACATCTGGCCCCCGGGCCTTAGTTTGAGGACCCCTGTTCCATGTCCTTTAAACTCTACAAACATCTACTGTCTGAAGGCCTGGTCCCAAAGCCATTATTTTAATTTATTTCTGAAAGACGGGGGGAGGGAGCAGATCTTACCTCATTTGGGAGTGTGTTCCATTATATTATTAGCATAGCACAGGTGACAAGGTGGAACTATCCCACAATATATATTATATTTATTATATTACATTTATTATATTAATAATATTATATTAATAATATTATATTAATAATATATTAATTATATTATATTAATATTATATTAATAATATATTAATTATATTATATTAATTATATTATATTAATTATATTTTATTGTATTTATTATATTATATTTATTATATTATTAGCATAGCACAGCTGACAAGGTGGAACTATCCCCTGTCCTCCCCTCTTCACTTTGGCCCAGAGTGGCAGTTGGTGCTAGGAGGGGGCGTGGCAAACGAGGGGCGGGACTAACAAGGCCCGCCTTCCCTCCCTCCCTGGTGTAAGGATAAGAGGGGCGGGGCTACGGAGTGGGCGGGGCTGCCAACATCTCTGGAGTGCGAATAGGGGGCGGGGCCACCAAACGCCCGCATTCTCTCCCTCCCTCCCTCCTGTCTTCCCAGGTTCGACTACGGAGACGATTTCTGGGCGGCGCAGCGGAGCCGAGGAGTGTCCTGCCTCTGCGGGGAGGCCGTGTGCAGATACTCTGACACTCGGGAAGCCCCGCCCCCTCGGGAAGCCCCGCCCCGCGGCTTCGGTTTCAAGACCCTCCGCGCCCCGCCCATCGCCGAGATCCACAAAAAGGCAGAAAAGAAGAGGAGGGGCCTCGGCTTGGCTCCGCCCCCCAGGGCTCCTGCGGGCCAATAAAAGTCTGCTGAAGGAACCTGCCGTGGAAGCTCCGCCTCTTCTTTCGGAGGGAGGGCGGAGGGGCGTGGTCAACGGGAACGCCCCTCCTCTCTGGGGGCGTGGCCTGCTGACATAGACATGGGAAACATGGGATCCCAGTTTGCTGATTTGGTGAAATTCTCACTATAGATTAATTCTTTATTTATATTCATTATAAGTAAGAATAATATAAATATTATAAATTATTATAACAATAATACAAATATAATATTATAAATATAATATAAATAATTATAAAAATAATATAAATATAATATTATAAATGTATTATAAATAATATTAAAATATAATTTATCATAAAATAATATAAATATAGTATTATAAATATATTAATTATAAATAAAAATAAAAATAATATAATTATA